GGAGCATTACTCTGAGAAGACTAAAAGATTTTTAAATATTTTTCTTTCATATATTTTATGTTTGGGTGAGTAATAGCCGTTTTCATTCATTTTGTAAATTTTCAACTGCTTGATGGGTGTATTATACCTAAGCAATGAATGGGAAACTCCGTTAGAAATTTCGCTTTCGATTCAGTATAAACAATTTATCCGGTATATAACATACAAAAAATGACATCATATTGAAATACTACATAGGGAATTGCTATGTGCAATTTTGATGAAGAGTCGTCTTTAATCACATTTAAGTGTCGCCATGTTTTGATTCAACAATCTTTGTATTTCTTTTATATTCTTTACACAAAATGATTTCAATGAAGAGCATTCAATTAGAAATAGTATAAATTTTGAGGTGTACGTGTCTGCAAAGGTTTGAAGACTTCTAAGAAGCTAAGCAATGTACTGTCTGTTGGTAAATAATTTAAATAACTTCAAGAAAAAAATATTTAAATGAAATGAAAAACACACACGCACACGCACACGCACACACACACGCACACCAACACACACACACACACACACACTAAATAAAATGGCGTAGAGTTTTTTATTACATGTTTTTCGGTGGTTTATAGAAATATATCAGTGGTTTAAAACTGGTAATTTCACTGTTTGAAACAGTGAAATTACCACTTTGATAATTTCACTGTTTTGAATTTAAGCCCCTTACGTTGTTTCAGTGAAATACCAGCGTGCACAGTACTGGGTACCAACTTAATGACATGACGTCGTAAATGACGTCACATTGTATTATTATTTGGCGCGCTTTCATTCAGTATTAGGTTTAAAATGTCTTTTTAAAACGTTTCTTTGCATGTAATAAAAAGAAAATTTGTTTAGTTTAGTGTAAGATCGAAATATATTTCTCCTTGTGAACACCAAAAGTTCATATTTCACTCGTGGCTGCGCCACTCGTGAAATATACATTTTGGTGCTCACTCGGTGAAATATATTCCGATCTTACACTGAACTAAACAAATATCCTCTATATTTTACTATTGTAATTAAACTTTTATGAACACGATAAACATGTAGTATAGTTTCATGACTCTCCCATTGTTATCACGTCTTCTAGAACAAATTTTAGTTTTAAAGGTTTTGCGATTGAAGTTTTTATTTATTTATTCATCTCTTTGGATAGTTTTCCTCTCCGAATTTTGCAAATGGATCGAGTATCAAATTGTTACTTAGTGAGCAGATAGAACCCTCAAATGAGTATTACTTCAAGCTAGAACAAGTTTTAATGTTTCATTTTGTCATTTACAATATCCTTGGCATAAAGAAATTTATACTAGCCCGGTTTTCATACATTTTTTCCAGGTTAGATTTCAAGATGTAAGTTTACCAAATCTAATTTATCAAGTTCATTAAATTTAGAAAAAATAACAACAAACAAACATAAACGAGACATAGTAATAAAGGAGAGCTTGAACCTTGCTTTCCTTATCCTTTAAAATCCGTTACTATTTATATTTTTCTGTGAGATAATAAGTGTGGCTGCATAAGAATTCTTTATTTTACTGGTGGTATTGTCTACTATTAGCAAAAAGGGACAAATACCATCATGTTGAAAAATGAGAAAAAACGTATCATGCTATACACATTAAGGAAGCAAATGTAATGTATTTTAAAATCAAGTATATAACTGATTAAAACGAAAGTTGTGTTTAATATCTGACTGAAAGGAAAGTTTGGGATGTATTAAATTTTATGGCTTAGTTTCAAGTTGACTTTCAGCAATACACGTAAAAGCTTGAAAAGAGTTTATCGACCTCACGATGTTTCATTTGAAAACACACACACACACCAACACATGCACACACACACACACGCACACGCACACGCACACGCACACGCACACACACACACACACACACATGAGAAAAAATGAGTAATGTCACATATTGTATCAAATAGTGCCATGAACATCCCATTGCACTAAATGGCGAACGAAATAGAAAGTGCTACATAAGAATTTAAAGACATAATTTGTTGTATTATAAAGTTGCACTTCAAAAACAGTACAACAATAATTCAGATCCACACATGGTGTTCTACAGAAAACAAGTAAATCTAATATGCTCATTGATTAGCCAATGAAAAAAAAAGAAAGATCTAAAGACTTTAAAAATATTAAGGTGACATTTAGCTAGCCCGAATGATAGGAAGACGAGATACCTCGACTGTAACATGCTTAGAATAATGTAATTTTAAAAGACTTTTTGCAATGATTTTGTTAAAGATCCTTCCTGTTACACAATATTTTTATGGTTTTATATCATAAATATGATGCTCAAATTAGGATTTATCAATATTGTAAGTTCCCAAAAGCATTATTTGTAAAGATATTACCGAATTTAACATTTCATGTAAAAAAGGGAGTTTAATTAAACATTTATTTTCTATAAAGTCTAAGTCAATTTTTTCAATACGAAATGAATGTATATATCTTAATGATTACATATAATGTGCACAAATATTTGCATTTAATATTTCACATTTTCTTTGATGTTTGAAAATTGTTTTATAAGCATGATTATATACATATAAAGAAATTTCATTTAAGTGTAGTTACAACCTCACTTAAATGAAATTTTCTATATGTATATGTATATAATTTCATTTAAGTGTGGTAACAACCCAGCCGTCCGGTTAGCTCAATTGGTAGAGCGTTGGACTGTGAATCGGTCGACCCGTGTTCGATTCCCGGACGGCGCAGGTCACTTTCGTTGTGATTGATTATGAAATCCTTTCTACGGTCATTCGCACTGTACCTCTTCTCTGGCATGTACAGACGTTTAAGTTCCTTGCGAAAGTGAAGGCAACTATTCAAAGCCCTTATAATGGTAAACTAATAATGGTAAACTGCTTGACAGCCTGGCCAGGAACGATACGGTGGTTGAACTGTGCTCTGGTGAATTCAACGTGGCTTACTGTCGTGATTCGGAGTGAAAACTACCAACACCGTTACCACTGGTGACAACCTCAATTACAACATACAGGCTCTTTATGCCTAGGGTGATTTAATTTATGAAAAAGAAAAAAAAAGATTTCATTTTGAATATAATTTAAAGAAATTTGAAGTCTAGAACCTGGCTGTAGTTTCATTTATTTCCATATGCATTTACTGGTATTTACTGGTAAAATGAAAGATAACAATCTTTACATAGCTGGTGGTGATGTTTGTGGTTTACCCTACAGATCATATCAGTAAGCCAGTTTGAATTCACCAGAGCACAGTTCAGCCACCGTATCGTTCCTAGATAGGCTGTCAAGCAATTCACCCATGCTGGTTGCCTTCTGTAGGTACAGTGTGAATGACCGTAGAATGAATTTCATGATCAATATCAAAGAAAGTGACATTCGCCGTCCGGGAATCGAACGCAGATCGTACGATGCTCTACGTACTGAGCTCATCGAACGGCCTTCTTTAGATAGTCTTTTTTATGTGCCTTTTGAATCCGGCTTCACTCCTCCATTCAAAGCCCTCCTGCAAACTGTTGGATGGACCGATTGTCTATTTGAATACTTTTCTAAAAGATGCCACTATACGCTGATCTTCGAGTTAAAAATACATTTATCGTCTAAAAAAATTACATTTCTTAGCATGTTAGTTGTATAGAATGTTTAATTTGACATAATGTTCATTTTCTTCATCACCAAGTTCAGCTAAATGACTACATATTTCAAAATATTGAAAATTCCGGTTGATAATGGGTCACGTCAGTTATGTACCGTTCATGCGAAATAAATTACACATTTACTTCAAGCAAAATTTAGAAATGTTAAATAGACAATAAAACGGCATTTATAGAAGTTCTAAAGACAATTCTTGTAATTTAAAGGATATATATAAAAAATCACTTTCAGAGAACTTTTTTATTATAAGATATAATTACACAGTATGTGACAAAAGAGGATATTCATATACAGGGCATGATTAAGTACATGTGCATGTTTAAAACGAAGGTGACGAAAAAAGAACATGAAAGTACAGGATATGTCAAGTAGGAACATAAATGTTTATGATATGATCAAGTACATGTTGTAAGGGGACTGATAAATTTAAGAATTTTTGATTGTATGGGATATTATAAGTAGAACATAAATGACGACGTGACCATGTACATTTTGTTGGGACGTGAAAAGTTATGAAAAAAAAATTTAACAGCTTTTCAAAAAACTTTTTTAGTTTCATAGTAAAATTCAATACACTGGTTTTCCTTTCAAGTCATTTTTTACGAACAGGAAACAGCTGATCATTTACTTTTTTTATATGCCCCGTTTTAAAGAAGGGCACAGCATCCTGAATTTACCCGGCGGACTGTGTGGAAGGAATATTACTGGACAGCATACATTCTGGTTTAAACCTTGTTAAAAAACTATTGATATAGGGGTTTTTACGACCTTTTTCTTGGGCCAGACATGTTATTAATACTGTTTTTCAATGTACAGCCTGACCGAGACTCTAACCCGGGGTCCTCGGAAAGCCGTTCCGAGGCTTTACCGACTGAGCTTAAACATCTTTTCCCTTAAATAGTATAAAGTTCTGAACTTTGACAAAGTTATGATTCTCCACATTCTTGATAGAGAACATATATAGCAAAGTTTTCCTATGCTAAGTTGAGATTCTTTTTTTCAACCCTCCAACATGAAAAATCATAAGCAAAGAACTCAACTAAATTAAGAAGAAGAGTGAGTCTTACTCCATCAAGTTTAAAAGATAAATAAACTTATCAAAAATACAGCTTTGCTGTTTACATTAATGTAGGTCAACATCTGGCCATGTATGCCCAAAAGTAAAATATGATGACGCTAGATAAATCAACATTTACAGTTACACTGCTTTTGAATTTTGAACAGAATATGTCATCACACATTTTCTGAAGAGTTTGTAGAGATTTCTAGTTTTGCAAAATCAAATTAAGAATTTTTTTTTAAATACCCGAAGTCTCTTAAATTATTATCAAGACATAAATTAAATCTAACTATTATCCCTATTTGAACTGGAGATTTCATCCTGTTTTTTTTTACTTCATGCATATTCAAATACAGCAAATATTATACTCATGTTTGTACAAAATATATCATATGATCATGAATTATTGTGTGTTGTAAAATAGTTCCATTTTACGGCAAAGAACGCTGGCAGCATTGTCAGCTGTAATGTTGTTTCAATGAATCAAGAATAGAATTGGATTGCTCTGCGTTCAATCAATGTCTGATTTCACGAAGCGTTCATCACAAAAAGACGACAACTCTCTTATGTATATTTCAACTGTTCGCAAATGTACATTGCCGTATGTGAACAGACTCTTCTCTTCCATTGATAGTTTACGTCCGAAATTAATGCCCCGCAATATTCCCAGATTTGGCTACGATGCCAGTTAGTGTAACCTTGACCAAGTTCAGTCTCCGTGTGGATCCATTTCCAGACATCTTCCAGTATGGCCATTCCGGCCCAGTAGTTCCCTGGAAGGAAAAAACCGTGTAACAGATAGATAAATAAGTATCATGCGTTCTTGTACGATATTAGACATGTGTCAATATCATGACGTAAATTTATAGTACAATACTGAATTCTATTGGATGAGTACACAGCTGTTAAACCTACATTGGACGAGACGCAACTCGAGTCTGATATAGGTTTTGCAACTGTGTATATATTATTTATGTTCTCAACAATGTACAATGACTTCCTTACTTCACACCACCTTTTCGGACATTTTGACAGATTTTTTTTACATTAAATATAGAGAGGATTTTTAAATCCTGAAATTGAAAACGAAGCTAGATAGGGTACGATATGCATTTAATAAAGATCTTTTGGACACAAGAATGAGAAATAAATGTTTGACGATTTCGATGGTACATATTTTTTTTTTCAATTGAAACTTTTGAACTTTTCACGATATAATTGCAGAAATTTGTGACAAAATATTGCCGCGCAGAAAAATTTCTGCGATACAATGTAAAGTTAAAATGATTATAGCGTATAAACTATATTAGAATGACGTTCGAGTTCGAGTTCATGTAACATTTTTTTCTCTTGGGTTTTTCCTCCAAGTTTCACTGTCTCTGTTTCATTTGTTAAAGAAAATTATCTAACAGCCACTTACTACCCGGACACTCGTAAATGCCACAATACTGCTTCCTAATTTTTGGGTCTGTTGTGTAACACCATGGTAACCCTAAGCCGTCGGGATCTCGACAATAGTTGGCAGCATCTGTCACAGATCTCTCTGGAAACCTGATGGGTTGAGTTCGTGTATGTTTGTGGGGAGTTTGTGAACCCCATCGCTGGCACGTGTGTCCGTCGTACGTCGTAGTTGTAGTGCCACTATATTGTTTTGAAGAGGCACTGAAGCATTCTGAAATATTACCAGGATTTGGTTACTCTTTGAGTTTTGTAATTGTTGAAATGAACTATTTAAATTTGGTTACTATTCAGATTTGGTTACTGTTGAAATTTGGTAACTATTGAAATTGGGTTACTTTTTAATTTTGGTAACTTTTGAAATTTAATATATACAACATTTTTATAACAAACGCTAAAACGTGCCCTGATTTAGCACAAGAAACACACTGATAGTAACAAAAGTTATCATAAGAACTCTAGGACAGCTTCAGAGTTATCACAAGAACGCCAGCACATTTGAAAAATCGGGCATAAATGTGTTAGTCGGGGCTTTATGTTTGCATTTGCATTATAATTAGGTAACTATGTATAGCAGGGATGCATACTCATTACATTCAAATTGGCAAATAATTTGGAAATTTTGCTTAAAACTACCAGTTTTTAAACAAGAGGCGATGAAAAAGGACTATGAATTAGTTTTTGACACATACAAGATGTAAGGCAAGCTTAATCATTAAAGTTTAATTTACCACTCGCATATGAAAGATGAAATTAAGCATTTTGACGGGTGTTTTGTAGTACGAGTATTTACAAAAGTTTTCCGACGAACCCCGTGACAATTATCACAAGAGCCCCTGACAAGTTATCATAAGAACTCCAACGTGAACCAGCTTCTCCCCCGTGTTGAACTACCATTCACAATAGATTAACTTATCTTCGAAGCTGTTACTGTAAAATTGTGTTTGTACCTACGGATTAGCTGGGAAAACACCAAAATGTTCTTTATTTCGGAGTAAGTCTATTTTTGCTAGTCCGTATGTGTTTTTTTCCCTTAACGCCCCCTCCCACATATTCTTTCCGGCCGTAAGCGGTTATGCAATAATGCTGTGACTTCGTATATAGTTTGTAATACTCATATTAAAGGGCTTTTCAAATTAAAACCTCCTTTTATTTATAAATGCCTTGCTGAAAATAAAACCTTTAAAACGCCTTTTAGAGATGAGTACATATACAAAAATGTATGTTAACAATGAACTCGATTTTGATGTAACAAACTCATGCATTGTACACTTTGATATTATTCTTTATTTATTTTGGCTTTACAGGTCTCTCTGTAAAAGCCTATCATTTACGCCTTTTTGATCATTTATAATGCTCAATTATAATAATTTATTCTTTTTCCAGTTCACATGTAAAAAACTGGATTTTATCGATTGAATTTAAAAACGAACAATTCAGAGTATATTACTCATAATATGAGCGATTACAACATATGCAACAATATATATGGTAAGTAATTCAAGTCTAACACGGCAATAAACGATATAAACTTGAATTACTCTGTTTGCACAGCGTTCGCGTAGATTTGAGCGTATGACGTCACTTTCTTTACGCGCGTCCCTTCCGGTGCTTCCATGGAAAGTGCCGAAAGTTTAAATAAAACGTGTTTTCTTTTTCGAGAAAATCCTTAAATCTCATATCAAAGTGAGAAAATATTCACTGGCTTCGCAATGTTTATATTGCAGCCGCTCTTGCATTCGGAACTGCCTCGGCTATTATCTATAATAACCTCGGAGACAATATGGATTGAAAGTAGTTTTATCACGTGGTTTCAGATGTTAACAGACATAGAGATAATGTAAAACGATTGTTGGCGTCCGCGCCGAAGCGCGGCGCCTCTTATGGAATGAAAAAGGGCGACAGCAACTTCTCGAACCTTTTAGTCGGTCATAATAAAAGCCGATCATTCCGATCGGTATGAGGTTGCTTGATTATTAATTAAAAATGAAATGTCGTGATATGTTACAATGAAAAGCGAACTGGAGAATTTCGCAATGCAAACTTTTTCAAATAAAATAACCTTTTCCGTCAATAAATCGCGCACTTCGGTTTTTTTTTATTTATCATTTTGTAGTACACAGTGGGTTATTATGGTATGTTATTGTTTTACATGTATCCGAAAGCTGGCTGTAAATAGAATGATCAGTAATTTGTTGATGACCTAAATAGTCCGAAAATCTATTTATAGATAATTATATCTATTTATCACTCTTATCGGTAATTCCCGGTCTCTCCCGGTCTATTTTGACCGGGATTTACTAGTGACCGGCGAATAGTACCACACGTTTATTGTCCGGTCTCTCCCGGTTTTAGAGTAGATGTAAAAAAAACACCAACAATAGCATGTTTCATTTTATCTATATGAGATAAAAACAATGAATATGTACAATAATTGAGAAAAAGGTACATTTTTATGGTGTTAATATGACATTATCAACTTTGAAACATTTCATTTAATTTCTTATTCGTGTTTAGTAAAGATGCCGAGAAATTATTCAAAGTTACAAATTAGATTTTATGAATTATTCAATTGATTGATAGTTTAAAAAATGATAAAGAAAAATACAGATGTACATGTACATGGTGTAAGAATAAACAATATTATATATTGAAAGATTAACCATAATCTACTGACATTTTCCAGTTAAGTTTTGACTTATAATCGTCGGTCAATATGACAATTGAATTCTTTAAATTTATTTTACAATTCTAATAAAAAAAAGAGTAGTAAACATAAAAACTCAGTATTAAAATAGCACATAAAACACAAAAAAGAAAAGAAAACAATATTCATAAAATCTGTATTTTTTTATTAAAATTAATAGATATTACAATTGTTGTATAATAAACATGATCAACATGGTAATATAACCAGTGTCATATTTTTACTAAGTGTGAACAGATACCTTAAGAGGGGGTCTTCGCTAATAGCGATAACATAATAAGGGACAATTACACAAGTGTGGTACGTGTTGATCATGCGTTACACATATGGATTATAAATGATTGTATACATGTATATCCGTTGCTATTAATAACCACGATCATAAAGAAATAACAAGTAATATTCTTATCTCTAGCACGCCAATCAAAGTTCATAATGAACAATGTCTTTCGTCCGCTCATTCATAAGTGATATACAATTCTGGTAGTTTATAAGAATATCTTGTCATCATATGTCTACTAGTTCATCTTCACATGCTGCATTTCTTGCTTGGACGACCTTTGATGCTTTGCATCAATGCTTTTCTTGTATATATTTGACATCTAATGACTGTTCCGGTACTCTGTAGTAGATATAAGCCGAAAACTGTCCAATATGTAAAATATTGAATTTCATGAGGCGCATAGCGCCGAAGGGAATTCAATATTTTGCTTATTGGTCAGTTTGAGGCTTATATCTTACTTAAATTACTACTTTTACTATCAAATATCATGTTATCCATTAAAAAATTAGAAATAATGTATTTTTGAGCTAGAAATATGTACAATATTAATGTTTTAGCAATAATCTTATTCTTACTTGCAAAACCCTATAGGTAGCCTCCTGAGTAGCATGAAATTTTCGTGTTTTGAAATATGACCAATTATGTACATGAACACAATGATATACACAAAATATACCAGTTACACAAAATGTTGGACTTACACACATACAGTATACATGAATTACATTAGGGATTTTTACAAGGAATAATAAAAATGAAATGTTTTCAAATTTGTGTTGAATCTCGGATATTTTGAATGATTGTCTTAAACAATCTATGACTTTTAAGAAGGATTTATATTGACCATTTAGTGTTAAAATGATATTTTTACTTTACTACAACTATCATGGATGTAAAATTTTGGATATTAACGCAACAAAATGATATTTTCTTATTTTTGAATTGATATTTGGCATACCACTGGAGTCTGGAATCGTTTGTTTATATAAGCAGTCAAACATAACCGCTTTTGTTTTAAATAGATGATTTTTTTCTCTATTGTATTATTTGAAAAGCTGACCATTACCCTTATTTAAAATGTTGACCTAACTGAAACATAACGTACATACAATAAAGCAAATCAAGTATGATTGTCAACTTAACGTATACATATATTTAAAACAGAAAAAAACGGACAATAGACAAGAAATTTATCCCACAAAAATCATATCCTAACTGACGCTCCGCTATCTTTCACTTGGAAAGCGTAAACAGTGATATGATGTTAAGAGCTTGAAAATCGAAAATCAGTAAGTTTGGAATAATAATTCGTTAAATGAGCCAGAGAACAAGACTAGTATTGTTCTTTTCCTAAAATTATGTAATTGCGTAATGGGCGAAGGAAAGATATAGCATCATTCCTCGTGTTAACTTCTGAGATAAGAGGCTACATTTTACTTAATCGTTTTTTGTTTGTTTTTGATTGTTTGTTTTTTTTTGTTTTTTTTTCTTTTTGTTTTCTTTTTTTTTATTTGGAGAATTTTCCACAAAATCCTGTGGTCACACAAGCTTCTTTCAAGAGACGGCACGCTGTCTAATATTAATGTGTTACACGAATAATATTGGACTTACACGTTAATATTGGACACCTACCTGTACTGTATTAAAAATACAGTACGGTCAGAACAAAGGAATGACGTCATAGTAGTAATTTAATATGCTTTAAAATATGTCTGACAACAATTTGTAATTTAAATATGCCCACCGATGTTCAATTTTAAACAAATACGACTAAATGTCAACAGGTTGGTTTTTTGTACGTTCGGTTTCTACAGCCATAATAATAAATATATAAATAATGCATTGTTTGCTTTTGTACCTCTGAATTCACTTATTTTAGGTGGACTTTTACTACATATAATATTGGAAATAAACTTGTCAACAACTCCCAGCATTTAATTACTATTTGTTTACATGTTTAGTTTCTTAGCGTAGGTTAGACCGAAATACCGCATCCGTTCTGTGTATTCATACTATTGTGTTCGAGGTCCTTATCCGAAGACTAACGGAAAGGGCCGAGTAGTTGCGATTGCCGCTCTTGATCATATTACAATTTACTAAAACCAATGTGGCATATAAATAATTTTACCTCTACTATTTTGTCTGTCAAGTGTTTCAATATGGTGTTTCAGGAACTGATCTTCGCCAGGAGATGTAATCTCGGCAAGATGACCGTTCAGTTTTTGACATCGGATCTGGAACAAACATGTTTTAAATAATACGAATAAGGTAAAGCATCAAACCGAGCTCTGGGTAAACAATACACTATAAGTTCGTGAATTTTTTTACAAAGACATCCACTCGCTAAGAATCAAAATGTGAAAGGTTAATAAGAATTCCAGTTCGGAAAAAAAAGATTTTTTTATTTCCTTAAGATTCGTAAAAATGGATCTCCAGATAGAAAAACATCTATCCCAAGTGAAGTGAACTTCCGGCCATTTTTTTTCAAAACCATCATAGTTTGGACGCTACTTTTGTTACCGCTATGCTCGCTATACAAGCAGACACTTCAAACCTGCTCTTCTAGCTAGTTAATATGAATTTTGCAAAGCATAAAGTCAGCTCTAATACAAAATTTACTAAAACATTACACTATGTTAAGTATTTATCAATCAAGTCTAATAAATCCTCCGAAATCATGACATCGCAAAGAATCTAATGACAGGGAAATAGATTGGAATCAATAAGATTTCCATTTCGGGAAAAAATGATAATTACCGTGAAACGTGAACGACCGGAACTGGAAGTTACTGCTTCACGGGGGAGGAAGTGTTACACGAAGGATGGAGTTCTTATGATAACTTGTTCAGGAGTTCTTGTGATAACTGTCACGGAGTTCGTCGGAAAACATCTGTATATACTACAAAAACACTCGTTAAAAATGGTTATTTTCATCTTTCCAAAATGAGTTTAAGGTGTTAAATTAAACTTTAATGATTAAGCTTGTCTTACATCTTGTATTATGTGTCAAAAACTAATTAACAGGCTGTTTTTCATCGCCTCTTGCTTCAAATCTGGTAGTTTTGAGTAAAAATTCCAAATTACTTGCCAATTCACAAGTTTTGACCTGTTTATTTCTGGTCTTCATCCTTGCCATACATAATTACCTAATTATAATGCAAAATTGCAAACATAAAGCACCGGCTAACAGATTTATACCCGATTTTTCAAATGTCCCGGAGTTCTTGTGATAACTCTGATGTGTCACAGAGTTCTTATGATAACTTTTGTTATTGACAGTGTGTTTCTTGCGCTAAATCATGGCACGTTTTGGCATGTTTTATCATTCAATAAGATTGTAAATCATTATGAAATGCAGTACGATCATCCTTTGCACAAAAATGTGGATAAAACGTTGGTCTTAACTGTCTGCAAAGGATAAATAGGTGATATCCTATCATCTACAGTAAAAATTGAACCAGCCGTCACTGATATTCAGCAGTATAATGGCTTAAACCACAAAACAAAAATGTCTCAAAACATTCACGTTGTTTTCAGTTTCACATGTTTAAGCAACCACATTTCTTAAGCAGACAATATAAAGGAATGCTTCCCTTACCTAAGGGCTAAGTAATTTGTATTATTTTATACCATAATAAATAAGTATATAACCAGGATAATGTCCACACCTATGTCTTAAAAAAGTACGATACATGATAAAACTCAACTGCGGTTGACTCTAACTAGCGATCTCTCGAAAAAATTTGAACTGTCCCTCCAGGTTCTAGATTTACCTAAAATGGGATTTCAGTTATTGTGCATGGGCATTCAAACTAGAATTCCCCAGGTGTTGCTTATAAGTGTCGCAAGTTCTCTAATGTAACTTAGAACAACAGACAAAACTTTGAAACATATTAATCTCTGTACTATTATAACTGATTTACATAGAAAACAAATGTTTCTCTGATTGATGCAGTAACATAGATGCTTAACTGAGAAAAAATATTTTGTATGCCTGAATGAAAATGATAAAGGGCCAGAAAACTGCTAGGGGCCGGAAACTGCTAGGAAACAAGTACATAAATCCTTTTTCCAGTCTACGAAATATGCGTCAAAAAAAAATACTATGAAAAGGAAACGGGGGTAAGAAATAATATCTCTTAAACTAAAATTCACTCAAAACCAACATTATATATCCTATTTTTTTGCGCAAAGTATGAGCGTACTACATTTCATAATGATTTACAATCTCGTTGAATATTAAAAAACGATAAAACGTGCCATGATTTAGCGCAAGAAACACACTGGCAATAATAAAAGTTATCATAAGAACTCTGTGACATCTTCAGAGTTATCACAAGAACTCCGGGACATTTGAAAAAATCAAGTATAAATCTGTTAGCCGGTGCTTTATGTTTGCTATTTTGCATTATAATTAGGTAATTATGAATGGCAAGGATGAAGACCAGAAATAAACAGGTCAATACTTGTGAATTGGCAAATAATTTGAAAATTTTACTCAAAACTACCAGATTTGAAGCAAGAGGCGATGAAAAACAGCCTGTTAATTAGTTTTTGACACATAATACAAGATGTAAGGCAAGCTTAATCATTAAAGTTTAATTTAACAACTAAAACTCATTTTGGAATGATGAAAATAACCATTTTTAACGAGTGTTTTTGTAGTATATACAGATGTTTTCCGACGAACTCCGTGACAGTTATCACAAGAACTCCTGAACAAGTTATCATAAGAACTCCATCCTTCGTGTAACACTTCCTCCCCCGTGTGCTTATTGGCGACGCCGGTGAGCGGCGTCGTCTCTTATGGAATGTTTTTTTTTGTTGTTTTTTTTTTGCACATGGTAGGAGCTGTTATTATTAGCAGTTAATGTCATGTTGTTTTAATTAGTTTTATAATCAATTAAAAAAATATGGTGTTATATTTCTATTTAATAACTTTATGTAAAAATCATATGCATTTCGATATTTTTTCATAAAATTGCAGGCTGAGTTTAACAGCTTGTCGCGAATACTTAAAGCCGGATTCCGAAAATCGTTGTGATCTATATTGATGTTTTCATTTTTGTTATTTAACTCAGATTAAGTTTTCTTTTATTTTATAGTTTACACTGTTTAATCATTTTTGTTAATTATGCAATGTTTATTGTTTCGTTCTATAGACCTTTTTACGACGAGGTACGTTGCTATGAAAAATTGACCGGAAGTAGTATTTTTTCGCGCATGCGCAATTTGCGTAGGGCAAAAGAGCCTTGCCTTCATAGAAATATAGTAGATATAAACTTTATATAAATTTTATAACATCTAAAATCGAGGTTAATTATCATTTCTGAAAAAGAAAAGTCGGAACACGTGATATAATGCATTTTTAGTTTTCAGTTTAGCTAATTTTATCATATATCCGACTTGACTGAGATGCCAAACAGAAAGTTTTAAGTCACATATATCACGGGGGAGGAAGTGTTACACGAAGGATGGAGTTCTTATGATAACTTGTTTGGAGTTCTTATGATAACTGTCACGGAGTTCCTGGAAAATGTTACGGATTTCTGTGGAAAACTTTTCTATATACTTGGAGAACTCGCCTAAAAAATGGTTATTTTTAACTTTAAATGGGGAGTTTGAGGTGCTAAATTAAACTTTGATAATTAAGCTTGCCCTACATATTGTATTTTGTTTCAGAAAAAATCTTTTAGTCCATATTTTGTCGCCTTTTGAAAAAAATCTGCATGTTTTGAGACAAATTACCAAATTACTTGCTAATTCGTACATATTGACCTTTTCATTTGTGATCTTCTTCGTTGCTATACTTAATTACCTAATTATTATGGAGAGCTGCAAACGACACCCACCTCATTAAATTTAGATAAAGGTAGTGCATACTACCTCCTATTTTGCTGAAAACAATTTACATGCATACCGATAGCATAGTTACTTAATGTTCTCTAAAACTGCCAGGAATAATGTATATATGACGAAATCATGATTCAAAGCGTATTTTTATCCTGTAAGTAAATGCTCTAAATCAAGTATGTTTACAGTCATTCCAATAAAATATAAAAAAAACACACACACAAACATCTAAAATCGAGGTTAATTATCATTTCTGAAAAAGAAAAGTCGGAACACGTGATATAATGCATTTTTAGTTTTCAGTTTAGCTAATTTTATCATATATCCGACTTGACTGAGATGCCAAACAGAAAGTTTTAAGTCACATATATCACGGGGGAGGAAGTGTTACACGAAGGATAGAGTTCTTATGATAACTTGTTTGGAGTTCTTATGATAACTGTCACGGGGGTTCCTGGGGAAAAAGTTACGGGTTTCTGTGGGAAAAATTTTTTATAACTTAAAACTCGCCTAAAAAAATTTTTATTTTTTTAAATTTAAATGGGGGGTTTTAGGTTTCCCCAAATTAAAAATTTTTAAATTTAAACTTTCCCTACATATTGATTTTGTTTTAAAAAAAACTTTTTTTCCATATTTTTTCGCCTTTTGGAAAAAAAACTGCATGTTTTTAGGGGAAAAAACCAAATTAAATTGCTAATTTGTAATTTTTACCTTTTTAATTTGGATTTTCTTCGTTGCTATATTTAAATTTACCAAATTTATTAGGGAGAGCGGGGCAAACACACCCCCTCATTAAATTAATAAAGGTAGTGCATACTACCTCCTTTTTTTGCTAAAAAAATTTTAAGCATCCCATACTAGTTACTTAATGTTCTCTAAAACTGCCAGGAATAATGTATATATGACGAAATCATGATTTCAAAGCGTATTTTTATCCTGTAAGTAAATGCTCTAAATCAAGTATGTTTACAGTCATTCAATAAAATATAAAAAAAACACACACACAAAAAGACCAAAACAAACACAAAAAACACAAGAAACGGAGGTAAGAAAAATATCTCTTGAACTGAAAAACACGATCAAAACCAACTTTATATAACCAAATTTTTGTGCAAATGATAAGCGTTAGTATGCTTCATAATGATTTACACACTTATTGTCTAATAAAATACGCTTAAACGCGCCGTGATTAAGCACAAAAACACACTGGCAGTAACAAAAGTTATCATAAGAACTCCAGGACATATTTTGAGTTATCGCCAGAACTCCGTAACATTTGAAAATTCGGGTATAAATCTATTAGCCGGGCTTTATGTTTGCAGCTCTCCATAATAATTAGGTAATTAAGTATAGCAACGAAGAAGATCACAAATGAAAAGGTCAATATGTACGAATATTAGCAAGTAATTTGGTAATTTTTCTCAAAACTTGCAGATTTTTTTTTAAAAAAAGGCGACAAAATATGGACTAAAAGATTTTTTCTGAAACAAAATACAATATGTAGGGCAAGCTTAATTATCAAAGTTTAATTTAGCACCTCAAACTCCCCATTTAAAGTTAAAAATAACCATTTTTTAGGCGAGTTCTCCAAGTATATAGAAAAGTTTTCCACAGAAATCCGTAACATTTTTCAGGAACTCCGTAACAGTTATCATAAGAACTCCAAACAAGTTATCATAAGAACTCCATCCTTCGTGTAACACTTCCTCCCCCGTGTATATATTTACATAATTTTTCAAACTCTTGAGAATTTAAGATGGGTGGTGGAATAACACACATTTTATCCGGTTCCTTGTAACCCATGGAAATGCACGTCATGTACACTATTTGTCACTTCACAAAATCAATAAACATTGATGAGATTGGTATAAATAAAAGTTACTTAAATTACGATTAATCATTTTAATAGTTTTATGTAATTAACTATGTCATGATACTAAAACTAATTCGGAGTTGAATAAAGAATAAGGAACAGGTTCCCTATTCCTTATTCGACTTTAACATTTTTTTCGAAATATTTTATGCAGATGCTTTATTTCATTATTTTAATGATTCATCCTTGCAATTCTTATGCAGATTTATCAAAAATAACTGCAACTGGTGTCTTTCTTTACGTAATTACTTCTGTTCCTTATTCGGAGTCGAATGAACCTGAACATTTTTTTTCCAAAATATTTTTATGCTAATGCTTTATTTCATGATTTTTATGATTGATCTTTGCAATTCTAATGCAGATTAATCAAAAATAACTGCAGCTGGTGTCTTTCTATACGTATTTCCTTCTGTTCCTTATTCAAAGTTGAATAAGGAATAAGGAACTGGTTCTCTATTCCTTATTCGACTTTAACATTTTTTTCAAAAAAAAAATATATGTAGATGCTTTATTTCATGATTTTAATGATTGATCCTTGCAATTCTTATGCAGATTTATCAAAAATAACTGCAACTGGTGTCTTTCTTTACGTATTTTCTTCTTTTCCTTATTCGGAGTTGAATAAGGAATAAGGAAATGGTTCCCTATTCCTTATTCGACTTTAATATTTTTTTTCAAAAAAATTATGTAGATGCTTTATTTCATGATTTTAATGATTGATCCTTGCAATTCTTATGCAGATATATAAAAAAAAACTGCAACTGGTGTCTTTCTTTACGTAATTACTTCTGTTCCTTATTTGGAGTCGAATGAACCTGGACATTATTTTTTTCAAAATATTTTTATGCAAATGCTTTATTTCATGATTTTTATCATTGATCCTTGCAATTCTAATGCAGATTTATCAAAAATAACTGCAACTGGTGTCTATCTTTACGTATTTCCTTCTGTTCCTTATACGGAGTTGAATAAGGAATAAGGAACTGGAACATGATTTTAATGATTCATCCTTGCAATTCTTATGCAGAGTTGTCAAAAAAAAACTGCAACTGGTGTCTTTCTTTACGTAGTTTCTTTTGCTCTTTATTCGGAGTTGAATAAGGAATAAGGAAATGGTTCCCTATTCCTTATTCGACTTTAACATATATTTTTCAAAAACAATTATATAGATGCTTTATTTTTATGCTATTGCTTTTTGTTCATGATTTTAATGATTGATCCTTGCAAGTCTAAGGAACTGGTTCCCTATTCCTTATTCGACTTTAACATATATTTTTCAAAAAAAAATACGTAGATGCTTTATTTCATGATTTTAATGATTGATTCTTGCAATTCTTATGCATATTTATCAAAAATAACTGCAACTGGTGTCTTTCTTTACGTATTTTCTTCTGTTCCTTATTCGGAGTTGAATAAGGAATAAGGAACTGGTTCCCTATTCCTTATTCGACTTTAACATTTTTTTCTAAAATATTTTTATGCTAATGCTTTATTTCATGATTTTAATGATTGATCCTTGCAATTCTAATGTAGATTTATCAAAAATAATTGCAACTGGTGTCTTTCTTCACGTATTTTCTCCTGTTCCTTATTCGGAGTTGAATAAGGAACTGGTTCCCTATTCCTTATTTGACTGTAACATTTTTTTTTCAAAATAATTTATGCGAATTCTTTATGATTTGAATGAGGTATAAGGAACGGGTTTATTAATCCTTGTTCGATTTGAATATTGTTAAAAAATAGGTCGATGCGGTTGCTTTATTCTATGATATTTATGATTGATTTGTGCATTTTCAACAGATTTGTGAAAGAAAGAACCGTTCTAGTTTTCTGATAATTTTATTTTAAATGAATACTTATTCTGCTGTTCCTTATTTAGATTTGAATAAGGCATCAGGAACTAGTTCCCTATTCCTTATTCGAAAAAGGAATAAGGAACTGATTCCTTATTCCTTATTTGAAAAAGGAATAAGGAATAGGGAACTAACTTTATGTACATCCGGTTGAATGATATTATGAAAGCTATCCGGTTTTCTGCAATGTAATTCTACTGCTTTCACATGGCCTTCTAACTTTTTATGAATACGTTTTACCATTACTTTTAATAAAACTGAGCCTGCAACATTTTATTATTTTGCTGTTTAGGGTGTTCTTTAGGGTCTCAGCTGGTTTTCTCTATTTTAAGGGGAAGTAACTCATGTTTACTAAATTGTTAGTTCTTTTCTGTCAATCTAAGGTACAGTTGAGTTCACACTAAAGGTTACACCAAGTGCACTTGGTGTGCACTACATGTGCACTTCTATTGCACTTCAATGTGCACATTAAGTGCACTTTGAAGCTCACTCCTAGTGCTGTAGACCATTTATGTACTGGACAATGTTTCAGTTTGTATAGCATTACCTTTAATTTAAGGAATGTTTTAAAAACATTTTGTAAATTTAATTATTAATTTATTATTTTTACTTTTTGTACTTTGTAAAATTAATAATTTCTATCAATATAATCTCATTATTAGTTTTATGATGAAAATGATAGAAATAGAAATATTCTATTGATGTTATTATAATAACCAGGTAAATTATTTGAAATACTAAATGGACAGTAGTTATTATTATAACTGATTTTACAAATTTGTTGATTTACTCTTTTTATGAATAAAGAATAAATAGTTTACGATATTTTTAGAGACAAATAGTATGATCATTATGTGCTTGGAAATTGTATGGTCTATGGAATATAATGATGTACTATTTACAAATAAAAGGATGCTCTGTTCTATTCTAATAATTAATAGTTGTTTCTTTAATTAGTTTAAATTACAATATTTAATAATCCTTAATTCTCAAACTGATACTGACCAGGAAATACATGCTATATGTTAATGGTAGGATAAAAAAGATTTTGTTTCTTTCTAGAAATCATAAAATAATTTGATGAGCCGTGTGTATCTTAAACAGTTTTGCTAGTAGTTTATGTAATTTATGACTTTCCCATATGTTTATGGTGTAATTTGCCATAGGGTGATATACAAGCACATCCTCAGTCCTTCCAATAAACAGCTTGATAAGATTAGATTCTACCCAGGCATTGTCACACCATACTAAAACATAAGAATCAACATTTAAGTGTAAAAGGAATACTTTAGACTTCAAAGACTTCCGCCTTTCAAAGTACTCCTAATTAGCAAGGAAGGTAAAAATACCTTTTCTTGTGAATAATGCAAATTTTAAAGTGGTTTGCCTACAGTTCGTAAATCCAATACTTAATGTATCTTAAAAGAAGGAAGAAGTGTCCAAATTGAAGTTTAAACTTTGGACCATGATAGTAATAGATTTAGATTAAGAGATATGTCTGCGTATTTTCACAAGTTATATATAGGTATTTATCTCTGGAAGTTTTAGAAGATATTCCATGCAGTAAATGTATGCACTGTTGTAGAAGAAATGCAGATAAGTTGGGTATAAGTGGATTGTATTATTCAAATTGACTCCTTAGATTTAAAACCTGTTTTTAAAAAGAAAACATGAAACATAGTTCCACGGTTATACAGCTCTGCAAAAGAAGTCTGAAATAGATTATCTCCTTCATACTAGCATTTAACAAACGATAATACTTGTTTGAAATAAATTTCAAAAAGTATTTAATGTATTGAAAGTATCATTTCAATAAAACTGTTTCCTTCTTGTACAAAATAGAAGTATCATTACCCTTCATTATAATGATCAACCATGAATATTTTAATTTGCGAATGGTTATTTACCTTTGCAGGATAAAGGCACTAAAATCTCCGAGTACCTTTGGTGTCTCCAAGGGGGTTCATTTTAGGTCCTCTTTTTTGTCTAATATTTGTCAATGATATGTCTGTAACCCTAAGCAATAAGCTTTCATTATAGGATGTTGACTCAGGTATCCTTGTATATGGTAAAATAAATCTGAAGAAATTCTATCTTTTGGCATGAGAATTTTAGTGATTGCTTATATTTGACTTTAAATTGTCTTTGCATCTTGACAAGACAGAGTATATGCTTTTGGGTTCAAGTTTCAACTTAAACAGGGTCCTAGCTTCCAGGTCACATGTAATGGTACTGATATAAAGTACACCTCCTCTGTTAAGTATTTAGGTGCAAGTCTTGATCAAATATACTCTGGCGTCGCCTTTGATGCTTTGCATCAATGGTTTTCTTGTAATAGCTTATAACTTTTATTACAGGGAAGACATAAATACCACGGGAGGAAGGGAGGGAGGGAGATATTTACCCCTTTTTATAGCTCACAAAAGACAGACAGTCCTTCAGGCATGCTCTTTAACCTTTAATGACTCACTGATCTATTATTATAATGACTATAATTATTATATTAAAGCTGCATGTCTTGAGAAGAGCCAAAATATATAAAAAAATGCAAACATGATAAAAATGTACTAAGATTTTAAGAAAGGTAAGAAGAGTCAAGATTTGTGTTACAGTTTAAATGTTACGTCCGTTTAAAGACATAGTTTGCAGTATTTATTACTAAATTTCTACTGCGTTTAACGCAGTATGGGCTATTTTTGCATATTTTGACCTTCTGTTAATTTGCTTGAATTATAAGTGCCGATTGCAATTTTTCCTTTTT